AAAGAGCAATGAAGAGGAGGATATAGGAGAGGAATGTGCTGCTAGCTTAGACTACATACTGAGAATGTAAGCAGTGGAACTGGTGAAAACAAAAGTTTAGGAGTATAACTCTTCACTTCACAGTTTATTGCTTAACAAATTAACTCCATGTCTTTGCTGTAATGAGTTAGGCACCGTTTGTTAGACAAGGCTGTGACTAACAACTGATGTAATTGTTTGACCTATGAAAAGGTCAGAAAAAAAGCATAATTGAATGCTCATATCACTTCCCCCAAACGCAAAGGTGAAATATTCAAACAGATTGTCTTGTCTGGCCAACACTGAAGAAGTAAACATACTTGCTTTTTCTGATGGTAGAGATTTCTGTTTGGCCAAATGCCGTATTTCAGTGCCAAAAGGATCTGTCGAGTTCAACAGTGGCATAGTTTATTGTCAGTAAAAGATTACTTAAAGGCTCAGTTTACATTCAGTGCTGCTACTCACTAAAAACACATTGTGTTTATCCTTGAGGCCATTTCCTAACTCCTAAAACATTTGCCAAGTCAATTCTTTAAATATTTTTAAATGATGAGTGGTTGTGGCCAAGTGGGCATGAAAAAAGAGCTACTAGTGTTCAAAAACTACTCCGGGTGCTTTAAGGCAGTTAATTAATTTCCAAAATGATTGCAGATTTATTTTAATAAATGTGTTTGTCGTTTCAGCTCTACAGAAAGTGCCAACAGCCTTAGCAACCTTTCACACAAATGTTTCTTTCACCACGACAGTATCCACAACTAGAATAATGTGAATAAATGTTACAATTTATAAAGAAGATTTAAAAAAGAGCATATTCAGAAATAGGCAGTGAATACCTAAAGACAAAAAGATAAGGTAAAAGGAAGGGATGAAAGATAGGAAATGGAAAAAGGAAAAAATATATACTTTTAAAAATATGAAATGTTAACAATGCCTAGATATGGCTACCTCCAAACTCTGGGCAAAGACAGACAAAGCAAGCAAAATCAAAATAAATACGTACAGTAAAAACTAGAGACTTTGTGATGACTTACTAGCAAGGAATTTCTAGATGGGAGCAGAGCTTTTTCCACAGTCTGACCGACATAATCCAGTGCCATTAGCGGGTAAAATGACTAAATACAACACACAACATCTGACATTCAACATCCTGCAAAGTCAAACAACTGACCATGAAGACTGGAAGGGATTGAGGAGATTATTAAGAAGAGATGGACAATTCGCGTGTGTGTGTGTGTGTGTGTGTGTGTGTGTGTGTGTGTGTGTGTGTGTGTGTGTGTGTTATTCCACCGTTTTAACAAGGCACGTGTGTGTTATATTGTGTGTGTTGGTTTATGTCAAAGGGTCTATCCCATAATAACTGACAGCCATCATTATCACTTCCTTTGTCTTTCTAATCCGGCTAATTAAATCTGCTAATGTCAATATACAATTACATCTGTGATTATGTTGGACCGGTGAGCCTCGCTGCCATTCTCCCTGCAAGAAAAACCTGACCACTGACAAGCCATACTGACAGCCAATCAGAATTGGAGATGAGACTTTTTCACTGACCATGTCCAAGAAAACTCCATTCACTCTGACAGTTCATCTTTTCCAGTGTGTCATGCTGTTCCACAGACAAACTCTTCGCCAAAGTAAGAGGGACGTGGTGAAAGCACGGCAGAGAAGCATCTGATTCTACATGCAGAGTGGTAATTACACCTAAATTGAGGGCACATGGTAATCTATGTTAGGTCATCTCCAATTCCATTTACATTTCCACATTTTTGGACTAATTAAAACTGTAAATAATCAGAGCCTGTGTGTGTGCGTGGGTGAGAATGAGAGAAGGGCAGAGAGAGGGTGTGTAGGCAGACACAATTTCTTTGAGATGAGCCAGTGGAGGAATATTCCCATCACATGCAGGGAAATTAAGTGCACACACTATGATTTTGACAAGACAAGAGAGAAGATAAAGGTTTTTTACGAGAGAAAGGGGAAAAGAGAGTAGAAAAAGTGCTTCCCTAGCAAAAATGTTTGCCGATTGCGATGTGTGTTTAATTGAAAGGAACATCGGAGCAGCGTTACCGACATGGAGAGATGGGTGACAAGAGGTTTTCTCAGAGTACAATTCGTCCACCAGTTGGTCTATAAAACTGACAGAACTCAGAGTTAAACTTTCAGGGTTGCCTCTCCCCCCTACGGCAAATTGAAGTGAGATGAGGAAAAGGGGAATTTGCTATTCTCAGAGCCGTTGCCCTTCGAGGTGTTGGAAGAGCACAGAATATGAATGTGGGAGAGAGGAAAAAAACACTTCAGAAGATGAAAACAAGCATTGAAAGGCAACTGGAGCAATATAACCAGCTCTGGCATAAATACTGGATGATCGCCAATAAAGAATGCAGGTAGATGTCAAAAAGAGCGTGGCTCAGAGACGCTAAAGTCGACCTGCTTTACACAAAACACACTCTTAGCCTAGGGTTATCTGTAGCCCTGGGCTGATTTGGCCCCCAGCTAACAAGCAATGAAAGAGCAAGTGTCAAATTGTCCCCTGGAAACTAAATGTGGAGACACACTAGTCACTCCTGCAGACATTCTCAGCATTTCATTGGCAACTTTCAACAGCCATTTGTTTCAAAAGTCTCCTTAACCTTCATCAACTGTTCACTCACTGCCAAACAAACAGAGCAACATTAGCTTAGTTACTACCAACAATGTCGGTGCGACGATTCCTTAAGGCTTCAAAAGCTTATTCAAGATGTTGCCCCCACCCCCCAAAAAAAGCAGTTTAACTATCCACAGAGCTGGATAAGGTCTTAATACAGAGAAGGACCCTCCAGCAAGGAACTCAAACCACAAGCACGACAACAAGGAGGCCAGTAGGGAAGAAAAAATGTATGTGGGTGTGCACATGACAAAGAAAAAGGCAGAGGCCGAGCCAAAAGACCACACAAGAAACATCCTGCAGCAATTCAATTATTCAATTTTGGAGGAGGAGAAAGATAGAGCAGATCGCAGTGAGTGAAAGGCTCATCCTCATCTGTGATTGATTAGGAGAGACTGGGACAGGATTCCATATACCACAAAAACAAGCCAGCAGAGAGGAGAGGAGAGGAGAGGAGAGGAGAGGAGAGGAGAGGAGAGGAGCTCTTTAACATGTCCCATGACTATGCAATTTATAGCACACTAAAAACCAAAAAGCCCATCTCAATCCTGGATCAACTCATGATGAGAACAAAGGTTCAACGCACACAACGATCCCAGGAGTGTTCAAGCTTTCGTTCTTTGCATAAACCTTTCAGTAAGAGCCTTTTTCCATGCTGCATCAAACCCTTTTAGTTGGTCTATAAACAGCAGACCCAGAATGAAATAGAATCCTTAAAGTACAAATGGTTGTCACCTTCTACATTTTTCATATGTAATACAAAATTGTTATAACTATTACATATTACATGTCTAAAAAAAAGCAAGATATGAACCCAAATATTTCAGCTTTTGTGCGTATTTCTGGATCTAACAGGGCCAAAACATTCAGCCAAACTCATTACAAGTCTGTCATTATCCACAAGGCAAAACAAATGGTTTGTTTTTCTCCTGAGAAAAAGGAGGATGTAACCTTATATTTGAAGCTGTCACAGAAAATAAATGGCCACTGTAACAAAACAAAGGTAAGTTTTGGGTTGTCTTAAATCCTGCCAAACTTAATGACAATTTTAGGCCAAGCTACCAGAGTGCCTACAGATGAAAATTCCCATCTAAGCTCAGCCCACTTCTCTGCACCCTAATGACAGGAAGCTAAAATAACTGCAACGATCCCTCGCCTGAAAAATGACTGTCTGAAATGGATAGTGCTGCGCTGAATGTTATCAGCAGCAATATTAATCTCTCATAGTGGTAATCACTAATTTCAGATACTGTTGAGTTGATGAATGGGGTTTTAACAAACTGAGCTATTGTTAAGAACTTAATGCAGACTAATTTATCAAGGTCATAATTACTCATGGACTGCAAAGACACATTAGCAGGGAAAAGTGCAGGAGCATTAGTGAGAAAGGAAGATCTAAATAAAAAGGAAATAGAAGCAGACATGCCAAATGACCATTAATGTTCACTTATGTATCATAATTAAACACTTCATGACAAATAAAGTAACATTTGATCATGATTCGGAGGAGTTGAGCACAACTATCTACAAGCTGGCAGGCTGTTTTTAGAAATGTGGAAAACAGTGACATCAAGTGGTAGATTAAAGTAGCATGTCACTTTCTAACTGCTCTTTATATATGTTGGGGGAAAGTGAAAAGGCAGTTCTCTCATGCTCATGATGTATTAAAAACACCAGCTGTGATAATAATAAGATCAGTCATTACACTGATTAAAGCATTAGTCAGCAAACACATGTCTGCATCCACATATTTGCTTATAGATAAACATGTGGGTGGTGTTGATATGTACCAAATATATTCAAGCATTAATTAATTTTACAGTGTTTAGTAAGAGAACATCATCCTCTAATTAAACTGCAACTTCTATAAGGACCTTCAAGTTCTAAGAAGGTCATCATAAAAAAGAGAAATCCTAATGAAAAACAATAAATCTGTATGAAAATGTAGATATTGCCTAGTGAACATCAGGCTGGCAATGCATAAATTGTAAGAAGCCACATTTTCAGGCTGTACTTGTGAATGACACATCGCGGTATCAAACAGTAAGACATGCAAGAGACAGGGCTCTGACAATATTATAATAAACACTAATCATAGTAGTTACTATAGCATAGGAATGTTAATGAATAAATATATATAGATATTATATCGAGGTTATAGTAAGTAAACACATATATCGCATATCGAGTCATTGCTGAGACCATAGCTTTTCAAGAGACCATATGAAATTATTTGCCGACTTCATATTGACAGTCAATGCGGCTCCTGTGAGAGCAGAAACCACGAGGCAAGCAGGGAGAAAAAGCACGCATATGAAACTGAATGTGTGGGACTCACCAGTTTGTTCTCTTGCAGGTAGAGTCTCTGCAGTTTAGGGCAACCTTTAGCCAAGGCCACCATGCCCTCATTTGTGATACTGTAGCACTGACCAAGGTGGATGTCCTTCAGCTCACTGCAGTGCTCTCCAAGCTGAAGGCCAAAAAGGTCACATTATTGAGAATATTTCAAATCACATAACACATCTTCCCCTGAATGACTTTATTGGAGTATTACTTCATTTTTACGCATATGAGGCGGGTGTATCACAAGCAGACATTGAAAAGGGACGTTTGCATTTTCTCGTGTCTCTATATCGATACCTTTTTAAGTGCTTCATCTGTCAGTTTGTCCTGGTTGCCCACATGCACCTTCACCAGCAGAGGGCAGTGTGTGGCCAAGGCCGATAGAGACATGTCTCCTAGCTGCTTGCATCGGTATGCTGTGTACTTCTGCAGGCCTGGGCAGTGTGAGGCCAGGGAGGACACGCCGTGGTCATGGACACCTCTGCAGTCAGAGATGTTAATCTCTGTCACATTCTGCCTTCGTGACGCTATCTTCACCAGGAGATCATCATTTACCTGGGGAACACAAGGAGATGATAAACATAAATGTTGTATAGGTTGACAAGACAGCTATCTATCATGTTGGCAAGAAGGTAAGGCCTCTCCTGCTCAATCATCCCAAGCCAGATTATGAGCTTAATGTCTAAAATGTAAGATAAGAAAAATTGAAAAACTAATGAATCACTTGTGAATAGAAAGATTGATGACAAATGTGCTTACTTGTTGTAGGCCACTGAGATCGATTTGCTTCCAGAACTGGAAGTCCAAGCAGAGGTCCCTCCAGTACTTACACACCAGAGAGGCACACAGACAGCGCTCCTTCACTGTCAAGTGAGAGAGCACCTGCAAGGAGAAAAAAGAAGATATATAAACACAAAGACAAATCCATTTAGAATGCACGTTTCCAGTCTAGTAAAAGCTATTCAACAATATTTCAGATAGCGTGGCTAAGTCGTCGTGGTATGTTTGCATTTCTCCTAGCACCCAACCAATGGAAAACATCAGTACATATTCACAAAACACCTATTTCTTTGATGAACTCTGACCTTCAGCAGGATGGAGGAAGGCAGGTGGTTGATACTTGAGTGATCAGTGGCGTCAGAACTTCTCGCCTGGCAGTCGTCATAATGCTGCAGGCAGCAGGGGGACGAGTCTGAGCTGTGCAGCAGATCAGCATGAAGACCCAACCCGCAGCAGCCATCAGCAGGTGAGGAGGAAGAGGAGGAGGCAGAGGAAGAAGAAGTGGAGGAGGAGGGGAGTGGACAGATGGGGAGGTGGCAGTGGCCAGTTTCAGAGTTTGAGGCGGCCTCTCCTCCACCTCCTCCACCTCCTCCCACTCCCCCGTTCTCCAGCACTCCGTCAGGGGCGGCGAAGGCGCAGCGCGGCTGCTTACAGGGGGTGCACCTCTGCACCTCTGAGCACTTCCTCTTACACACCTGCACCCAGAGACACACACAGATCAGCCAGGTGGAACAGTTACTGCAGGCAAGTCAAGGCACATTGAAGTGTAAAGCCTTTAAAGGTAGGGTAGGTAAGTTTGAGAAACCGGCTCGAGATCGCTAGAATTTGAAAATACACAACCGGAGAAAATCTGCCACTTCCTTATAGAGCCCCTCCTCCAACACACACGAACGTGCACATGGCCAATGAGGGCACGAGATAAGTTTGTGCACAGATGGAAGGCTGACAGGCAGGTAGGCCATCCAGTTATTTTAGCCGGGCCGGCTAAAATGATTGGTCGTACTTTTTACAGTATTACGGCTTCCACAGATGACATTTTTTAATGGATTTTTTGTCAAAGCACTTAAAATATTCATTGCTATCGGAATGTTAAGAGCATTCCATGGAATATAACAAAAAGTGTATCTCGAGCCGGTTTCGCACACTTACCTACCCTACCTTTAAATACAATTACAGTGTTTAAGAAACTCCCACCACCCACATTATCAAACAACAACAACAGCACCCTATACCTTGGATATTAAATTAGAACATAATAAAAGAGGATTAAAAAATGCTGTTGATTTTGGTGTAAAGTTTGAATAGACTTATATACATACTAGTATGAAAAGTTGGGGCACTGGTCAACAAACCCACTGTAGACGATTTATATATTGTAATGCTCATAAGTCACTACCAGAACAGTTTTTTCATCTTGTCAAACATATTTTTAACAATTGTTATTTTGTTCATTGTACATGATAGAACTCATCTGGGCGACAGATTGTTTCATTTAAATAGGTAATCAGTCTCCTATGGGCACTTATGTGTAAACTTTCTTAAATGTTCTTGAGTTAAAGCCCTATGAATAATGAGACTCTTTGCACTACTTTTTATTTTGTATTTTGAATTTTTGCATTTCATTATATATGTTGCATTGTTGGGGGAGCTCAGGTCAGAAGAATTTCATTGCCATTTCTACACTGTAGCTTTTTGCATATGACAATAAAACCTTTGAATTTGAATCAGCTGTACTGGTAAATCATGGCTGTTTAGGCCCTCTGAACTGATTTGGGTCAATGCTGCATCTTCAGCAGCTACAACATGTGGTGCTGTTGGTGCAGCTCCCTACCATCTCAGTGTAGTCACTGGTGCTGCCAGGCACAGGTAGGGGAACGTTCACAGACACCCCAGCGGATCTGAATAGCGCGGGTGGTGGAATCAGTTTGGCAGGAACAGCTGATAAGAGGCTCCTTCCTTGGCCCTCCCAGATAGCCAGCTCCCGCGGAGACAGCAGGAACTTGGAGCAGTCTTCAGGAGATGTGAGTGTTGCGTATCGCTCGGCGAGCTTCGAGGCAGCTGCTGCTCCGATGCCAACTCCACCCACACCAGGAACACTGATCCCTGTGATGCTGTTATGACGGCACGCACTGCCGTTGATGCCGGCCTCCAAATGGTCACCTTCGTCGTCAAGACCGCTGCTGTTGCTGTGGACGATGAAGCAGAGCATGCAAGGCAGCTGCAGGAAACAGTTCCTCTTCTTCTTCTTCCTGTGATGCAACTTACGAGTCCTCTTCTTCAGACGGTAACCATTTTTCGAGAGAAGATGGCCCATATAGATGATTCAAGGAAACTCTAGAACAGACAGGATTCAATTCATTAGTAAATCCATGATTTGGGAATATTCTAAGGACCTTGACAATTAAACTAGTCAAATCAAATCAAGTTTTATTTATATAGCACATTTAAAAGCGGTTTTTGGTCGAGCCAAAGTGCTGTACATGTAATAAAAACACATTACTACAATCACAATAAAAGACAATAATTTACAACAGAAATATAAAAAACAAAAACACAGGGAATAGTCAGGTGTCATGCTCCGCTCTGACTAGAAGGCCAGGGAGAAGAAGTGTGTTTTTAGTGAGGATTTTTAAAAACCTAGTGTCTCGGCCGACCTCACATGGAGGGGCAGAGTGTATCATTGTTGGTATCATATTTGTGTCTATACAATACATTAATTTTACCAATTATTACGTATTTACCAATTATTGGTATTTTGATGCTTTTAGTTCCCTACTTTGAACCTTGTTTGTGTTTCATTTACCCAAACAAGCATGATATTTAAAACTCGTAAGTGCTTAATGCAGTCTTAATATAATCTTCAATAAATTCATATATGTGAAAAGAATACAAAAAGAATACACAACAACATTTAGGATGGTGCAAAAAAAAGAGCTGAGGTTTAATCAGCCCTTTAATAGAGTGGTAGAGAAAAACAGTTGCCGAACAAATCTTAATGATATATTAGTACAAATGTTTGAGTTCATATCACTTGTAAAGGAAGAGCCCTGCATAAAGGTCAAGCTATTCTGCATCACTGTCCTTTGCTAATGTGGCAACAAGTGCGATTATTATTGAAACACTGTAATGATTTCAAATAGTTTTATCTGGCATACACCACCGTAGCCTGCTTTTTTATTGAGCTAAACTTCAAAATGAATGTTTGCACACAACAAAGACTATGGATACTTTCGCTTCTCACTTGCATTGGAATTAAAAAGAGATCCTTTCCCAACCATGACTAATAATGATGAACTCTCAATCTGAATGTACACAATGACATAAGATTAGATAAAAAAGAAGAGAGAGAATGTGAGCCTCTTCTTATATTGTGAAGGACAATCAAGGTAGCCCTATATATAGTGAAAGAGTTGGGCAAATAACAATATCAACACATGAGGCTCATGAGCACAACGCTTTGAAACCGAGCTGTCGAAACCATCTGACCTATATTACTTGTGTTATGAATACATTACTTGTCACACGTTGATTACGCTGTCTACGTCAGAGTAATAAATAACACATTCGTTATTGTAATGCGATGGTCTAGCAAGGAAGCAGCACCGATGCAACGTCTGGTTGCAGCCGAATGAAAAGATGTAAACATTGAACAGGTGGCCATTTGTTTCTCTCACACAGTCACAAACGTTTTACTTGTTGATTCTGTTTTACTGCGACAGGTTTATGTTGAACATTATCTCCATCATAGCGATACACTCACGGCCCTAGTTTAGAGCAAACACACGGTTACAGTGCTAACCCAGTTGAGCTTTCTGACAGGCTAGCTTGCTCCATCACTGGATGCTAACTTAGCTGTAGCCATAACATGAAACATGTCTCACCACTTCACACGGTGCTCCCTCACTCCGGACGGTGCTCGCATAATACTGCTATGCTGCACAGCCGAGCTGAGTGCTGACAAGTCCGGGCAGTAGAGACGAGGAGGCGAGAGACCCTGCTACAGAACTAGCGTAGTGTTTATCCACACAGTGCAGCTCTGGCTCTGCTGCTGCTGCTGGAGGACAACACTTCCGCACCGAGAGGGCAGCGCGAAGGAAGCCGACGAGGCCGATTCGTAATTCGTCATGGAGGCTGGATGAAGGGCCTTGAGGGAGAAGTAAAGCCCAATGTGACCCAAGTTGTATAACCGTTTGTGCGTTATCATAGTTTTACGTTTCAGAATATATTTTTTTGCGTTAATGTTTACATTCTTCCCGGACTATAACTATTTTTCCCCATGTGTCATTGAGAACCCAATCTTGTCGACATTAATTTGATCGCATTCTTTCTTATGTTTCAAATTCATTTAAAGTGTATCTTTGTTAGTGTTAGTGAGATAGATAATTATGCCTTATTCAAGTGTCATTAATTGTTATGGAATGGAGCTTATAGCTAAATATGTCGTAAAAAATGTGAGAATCGTGTTTTTTTATACACGGTCCTTGTTTAATAAGACTAATACCATGACAGTACCACGACCAAAAAACACACAAAACAGCGTTATAAACAGCAAGTAGGCCTATGTAAAAGATACATTAAAGTTAAAAAAATCACGGTTAGGTGAATATTTCGATAAAAATGTAATGATGTCACCAGGGTTATCTTGGTTTAGTCTTAAAACGAATTAGCAATAGCATCTAATATTTTTTTTAAATAACATAGTAGCAAATAATATAACATGAATATAAACTACTGTTACTTTGCTTTTCACTTTTCACTAACATTTTTCTTTCCCCCTTCTCTTTCCCACTCTCTCTCTCTCCCACACAGACGCGCGCGCACACACCAACATGCATGCACGCACACACACATGCAAATTATGGGCGTGAATTTGCAGCCACCAACTCTTCAAGCCTGAACAGCAACTCCCAAAATAGCAATGCTAGTTCGGGAAGCCTCAGGAAAAAATGGCTGAAGCAATTTCACCAATAATTCGACAAGTAACTATAGAAAACAAGGACATTGGGAGCCTTTCTATCGACTATCATCTTGAAGACGTCGAAGATTGTTTTATTTACGACCGGCATGGAGTCTCCTTTCCGTTCAAGAAATTATATCGAGACAGGAAATCGGTCATAATATTCGTGCGGGTAGGGGAATAACTTTGTTTGGCTTTATTTTGCTGGTGACTCATTGGCTGCACTGCCTCAAGTAAAATCATGAGAGGCTCAAGTTTATGTTGATTGAGCCTCAAAAGGCATCACAGTATAGGCAACAGTTGAGCATCAGCCTTGCTGGACAGATGCAGCAACAGCTTCCTCTGCTATGAAGGGATGGAGAGCTCATAGGTGAAGACAGGGGGATAAACAGTATTAAGGTGCAAGACCAGAGTTTTAAAAAGTAATGTAATATCGCATATCTAGTCTATTTATGTATTACATTTGGTGTCTGCAGAATTTCCTGTGCTACAGCTGTAAGGAATATGTGGAGGATTTGAGTAAAATACCTAAAGAAGCACTAGAGGTAAGTCCTGATTCACAACTAATCTACTGGAGGCTATTACTTTGTTGCAAACTTGACATACAAATTAGAGTTAATGCCCTATGCTTGGATGATTATAAGACAATTTCGAAAACTCCACATTTTGTTGCCTTTTTTTGCAGGATGCTGCCATTAGACTGGTTGTGATTGGACAGGCTGCTCATCATCATATAGACGTAATTCATTCAGTGATTTTCATGCATATTTACAGTATGCCACACTCATTCATCATATCATATTGATTTAGTTTTTAATCTCTCTAGCCGTTCTGTTTACTGACCGGGTATCCTTATGAAATATATGTGGACCCCGAGAGGATCATTTATCAAAAGCTGGGGATGAAGAGAGAGGAGACATTTACAGACTCAGGTAATCCAATATATGAGGACATAAACACTGCATATTTTAAGATGTGATTAATATAAATATATCTCTGTGTGTGTGGGTTGGTGTTTATGTTCATAGCCCAACCCAGTCCCCATGTGAAGTCTGGTATCTTTATGGGGCAAGTGAAGAGTGTATGGAGGGCCATGACTAGCCCTGCATTCGACTTCCAGGGTGACCTACATCAACAAGGTGGAGCCATCATCGCAGGACCAGGTAATCCTGACTCTCTCTGTTTTATTGTATTGTGCTCAAGGTCTGTCTCTGCCTCAACTACTTTCTCTTTTCCTTGCTCACTCCTTCTTCTCTCTACAGGCTCTCAGGTTCATTTTTCCCATTGTGACATGAACCGCCTGGACCACATGCCCATTAACTGGCTCCTGCAGCTCGCCGGGGTTCAACAGACTCTGGACTTCAGTGATAAGCCAACAATCATTCATGTGTAGCCAGCTGGTCTGCTTGAAAGCATGCTTCATTCTTCATCACTGTTTGGGCATCATCATTTTATAAAACATATTTGTGTCTCAGTTATACTCAGTCTGTTTTTTTTAATCAAGTCTGTACTTGCTCTTCTGCTCTGCCAAAATATTGGATAGGTGAGGTCTGAAACACAAGTCTTCTCTAAAACTCTTGGCTTTATTCAAGGTCTTCTTACTAGTATTTCCAGAGCTTCCAATCACATCTCATGTGCTGATGAAGGTGAAAGCCAGTAAATGAACTGAGCAAAGTTGTTCTGCCAATGAAGAACATGTAATGTTGTTTGAGAATAAAAGAGCTCTAGAAAAAGCATGAGTGGTCATTGTTGTAAAGGTTTTGTTCAAATACATAACATTATGTTTTGATTGAGTGCATAACAGAGACATTACTATAAAAATGTCTACCTTTTCTATTAGGTTATTCTCATCATTTTAAGATGGTTGTGTGTGGTAGGCTATTAATAAAACTCTAAAACAACGTGTGCATTTCTGTCAGTGATTACCTTATTACAGAATGTACTTTTTTTAGACTATCTTATAAGTGTTCATTATCAGAATCAGAATCACAATACCTTTACTCGTCCCACAGAGGGGATATTTACATTGTTACCGCAACAAATAAAACACTATTAGTTAAAGTGATTCCAATTTACAAGTAGCATTTGTAATACATTTTCCAATGTACATAATAGCACACAAGTGTTATTGCACAACAGTAGTGTCGTAGTCTTTGGGGTATTTTTTTGGGGGGGGGGGGTTACATAAAAATGCAAGTGAAGTTTTATTGCAATTTCCTTGGTCCATCTGTGTTGTCTCATGTTATCCACATGCACACTGCAGACCTAATACATGGTCTTCCCACAGTCATTTCCAATGGGATCACCTAGGACTACATTCCCCACGTTATCTCCAGCTGCAGAAGATGAACAGTGGAGGGTGGGCGCTGGACATCTAATGCTGATACGTCACGTGCATGAGATTCAGAGAGCAGAAACCTGCCCCTGCTCTCAGACGTCACCGGCACCACCGGAGAGGCTGGAGCAGACGGCGAGACCTCTGTTGACACCTTGACACATTTGCAACACACATACATCCCCAGACCATGCCATAAGAACAACAAACCGGGGACACGCCGCCGCACTGCGAACCGAAGGAGGTCTGCTGCTGCTGCTGCTGCCCGGGAATGTCCTCCGTGCAGCCGCGAACATGAAGCGCAAGAGCGAGAGGAGAAGAGCCGAGTCGAGGAAAAAGCGCTGTGCAGCTCTCAGCAGCTCAGAGGCGGAGCCAACCTCTGATGTGTACACTGAGATAACAGGTAAGGGGCCTGCAGGGTGAACCCTGTCAACTTAAAGCCTACTCTGCAAATATGACAAGGACGCCCACAGCAGGATGCATGTAATTAAATGAGCAGGGTGTGTTAGAAAGTCTTCCATCGAATATAAAGACATCGGCTCATTCGGCTGTCGTTTAATCGTCAATGTACTGGGTTTGCCTTGTGTTGTGTGCAAAGATGCATAATATTATCATAACTTCCTGCTCCGGTAGGCTATTTATTTTAGAGGAAGCAAATTACACCATTACTTCGCTTTGTCTGCACCATCATATCTTAATGGGCTGTGCATAGAGACGGAGTGGTGTATTAGTGTGTATTATAGTTAGGACACTGTATTTTTCATGGCGTTTTCCTGGTTTTTGTTCTTCATCTTCACCCTCCTTGCGCAGCTCAAATCTCAGAGAAGGAGGTTCGCCGAAGTGGAAATCGCGTATTTGATTGGCTGGGAGATCGCCCTAGCAACCGTTTGGGCAACGTTCCGGGGCCTATCATATGTCTTATGTGGAGAACTTTAAACTAAAACAGGCGAGGCTGAGCAAGACTGGCAGGCCGTTCCTCTAATCATGTAGCGGCCTGGATATCTCGCAGCCAATAGCCTGTCGCCGATCAGTGAAGGGAGGAGTCCAGTAGAGATCTTTTTTTTTTAGCAGAGTGCGCACTTGCAATCGAAACTCTTCTTCCCTCTTTGACTGTTAACTTTTTGTCCCGGATTGTTAAATCAGATTTGAAAACGATTGTGTTATACTGTTACTTTTTAACGTATAGCTTTTTTAATCAGCTCGTACACTAACCGTGGAAGTTTTACTCAGTATGCGCAAGTCTTCGTCGTAAAGAAAATCTACCTCGTACGTTTCTCTGCAAAACAAATATGTTCAGAACTATGAACAAGATGACCACGGACGATGTTTCGTCAAGATGCATCGAGTTTGTCAAGGGTAAGTCGCGAGAAAAATGAATGGAGTAGTAAAAGGGGTCCCGGGCTAGGGGAAATTAGAGACCACAGAAGTTTATGTGCATGACAAAAGCAAGTATTTAACTGCCTCTTTATGTTGTCTCCCTACCCCACCCCCCTCCCCTCCCTCCCCAGATCAACTGTATTTCGCCATACTAAAGCAAAAGATCAAGAGCACAGCTGATCGACACTGTTTCTGCATAGATGAGGAGCTGGCATATGAGAAGTAAGCTTTCAGTCTCATCCCATCTTTGCAACCTGCACATGCACATTTAGCTCGTTGCTGTAATATGTGTGTGCTTTGCACCTGACCTTTGCACTTCTTTGACATTATAAATAAGTCTGCAATGCCTATACCTTTGTTATGCAACGTTGTAGTAACTTATAGTATATCATTTCAACCATGAGTAGATGCAGTGATTCTAGCATTGATTGCAGAAATCGTTGGTATGAAGTTATCCAACATATTCAGATTTGTTTCCTCAAAGGAAGCAATGCTATTCCTAAAATAAAGAAAGATTGTTAAAACTAAAAGCCTCCTTTAACTGTTGGAATAGATCCAAATAACCAAAACAACATAAACAATGAAAGGCTCACTAAACTAGTAATGGCACCTTTTTCAAGGGCATGACTGTTTGAACGGGCTGGTGTTAGATTGGCATGAGAAGAGAACCTGACCGACCTTTAGAGCTATTTTTGTGCCAGTGGTACAACAAATACTCATGTCTTTGCAGCATTTTGTCCTGTTCTGAGTGACCTATTACAGCATCAGATGCTTCTAAAAATAGACTTTACTTTGTCAGGGTTTTTACTGTTTCAGTGTAAGGTAGCTGATTCCATCTAATGAAACTTCCCCAGAGACTGTAGCCGGTTGCATAAATAGCCACTCTGACACACTCTTCTTCTTCTCCCCCCCTCTCTCAGCTTCTATGCGGACTTTGGTCCCCTTAACTTGGCCATGTTTTATCGCTTCAGCTGCAAGCTGACAAAGAAGCTCAAGGTAAAGTAAACCGTCGATCTTAGTTGTACTTCCTGGAAGAGAGAATAGGATCCATAGAGCCAGGTCAATCAACATGTATTTATGCTTGCAGTAGGTAGACAAAATAAAGTAGAGGTATGTTTTTTTGCACATCATGTACTAGTAATACTTTTCAACTTTTTACAGTTATATTTATAGCTATAATATCCGTAAAATGCAAGTAAAAAGTAATTGTTTGTTTTAAGTTGGGTTAAAAGTCCTTAATCATTTTCCCGATGAGGAATTTACTTTTTTTTCAAGCCACTGTGGGTAACTGCAATGTCATAATTTAGTATTATACATTTGTATGTAAAATAACAAATGTTATCACATCTCAGTTCATACTGATGCTCTGAATATCTTTGTACAGTCTATTACACTCTCAAGGAAGAAGATCATATTCTACACCTGTGGAGATCAGAAGAAACAAGCCAATGCTGCCTATCTCATTGGCTCATATGCAGTAAGTGGAATAATATGTGTATAATGATATCAGCTTTTAACCTGAGAGGCACCTAGTGATTGGAGATTTGTTTTTAACAGGTGATGAATCTAGACATGATGCCGGAGGATGCCTACAGTCTGCTTGTGTCAAGGAACTCAACATATATTCCATTCAGGTAACTATTACTGTACTGTATATTTCACATTAACCCAGTGAACAACACAACCAAATCATTATCAGAGCAGACTGATCTGTTTTGCCGTATGCTTCCATCTTAATCCTACAAATATTTAATTTTCTTTTTTAAATATGCTGCATCTGAAATTTGGAAATAGGGTCCATACATCTTGTCAAATTATACTTTGAAAATATTGCAGAGAGTTATTTTTAAAAAACAAAACCACTTTGTTATTTTTACCAGGTTTGTTTAGATTTAATTGCAACAGAAGAAAAAGGCTCAGGGATCCCAAGACCCAGAAGGCTTAAAGGTCCCATGTCATGCTTTTCTGGTTATTACCCGTCCCCTTGTGTGTTATGTAGCTTTTTATGCATGTAAACGGTCTGCAGAGTCACAAATCCTCAAAGTACACCCTGTAGCGAGTAAAACTCTAACACAGAAAAGACCTGTCTATGCTGCCCCAGAACGCCTCGTTGGAGATTTCTCTTTTTCTTCCTGGGTACAGTGATGTATTTGGGTATAGTGACGTAACGTAACGTCCGCGGAGCCGTTACGTTTGGACCAATCCGCGGACTTCCTCACACACACACACTCGGCGGGACGTTGCGAGGAGCGGACAGTGTGAGCTGGCTCACTGGTGTGGGGTCGGCGAGACACCGCGGAACTCAGCCTGAGCACACACACAAACTCCCAGCCAGGCTGCGGGTGTGTGTGTGTTTCGGGCTGGGTTTCGCTGTGTCTCGCTGTCTCGCAGACGGCCACTGGGCTCACAGGGAGGGGGGGGGGGGCAGGAGCTCCAACAAGCCGTTTAGGACAGAGAGTGAATACACATACTATACGGAGATGCTGTATGAGAAACCAATGTGAGTTTGGAAAATTGCACAATATAAATCTATTTTAGTATACCTCAACAATGGAATTGTGATCAGTAGAAATGGCCATGACATGGGACCTTTAAGGGCCTGTGTGCCTGTGTTCTTTATATTACTATATCATGTTGAATTTAAATAAAAGTGTTAAGAGAAGAAACAAAACAAGACATTAAAAGAGCAGGGTAGGTTGGATAGCAGTTGATATTTTGTTAAATTGTATTTAAAGGGAAATAAATATGGTTTCATCATATTTTTTGTTTCAGAGATGCGTCATTTGGATCCTGCATGTACAATCTGAATATCCTAGACTGCCTTCGTGGTGTTCACAAGGTACGTCATATTAACATATAATTACGTTTCTGTTTTGCTGTGTCATGCTCCCTTGGAATGAACTCTCCTCTCTCCCCCCTGCCAGGCTCTGCAGTACGGCTGGCTCGACTTCTCCAACTTTGACGTGGAAGAATATGAGCACTACGAGAGGGCAGAAAATGGAGACTTAAACTGGATCATTCCAG